CCTTGACGCCGGTAAACTTTCCGGTGGTGACCGGAGTGGCCGATAGCGGCCATAGATTGGCGGAGCATGGTCACGCGACGCTGGCTTCACCGGGAGTCTCGAGAAATCGCGACAGTCGTGGACGCTGGTGCAGGAAGGCTTCGCGCGAAGTGAGCGGCTACGACGCCGGCGAGGCTCCTGGTGGTGATCGGCATCTTCGACGGCGGTCCTGGTGGTAACCGACGCCTTCGGCGGCGGTCCTGGTGGTCATCGACGTCTTCATCGGCATCTTCGACGGTGGTCCAGGGTGGAGAGGACTGTTCACGCGTGAGGGAGAAGACGAGGAAGGGGATTTGAAGTTTTTGAGTGTGTGAGGAGAGGAATTTGGGCTAACCAGCTTATGCTTCCTGCACCCCACTTTTAGTTTTCTCACGCCATATAAGTTGTAGTTTGGACTCCTGCATACTACTTATTGCACCTCCGCATTTCATAATGCACACCTTTCTGGTATTTTGGAGACGAATCACTTTTAATTTTTTCACCCAAACGCTTTACACCTCGCACCACCCTTAACATCATCCTCTTACATGCAACACCTTCATATTTTTATTTCTATTTTTACCCTTACCCTTAAACACATTTCATATAAATTTTTTTTAACACTTTTTTTCATATGAAATATTTAAAAATAATAATAATAATAATAATTTAAAATAAAATTCAAATTACAAAAATATAAAAACATAAAATTTTCAAAAAATATCAATATTTTCAAATATATGATTTTTATTAAGAACGTGTTGATCTCGTTCTCTAATAGGATTAAAGTCAACTCTATAGATCCACCTAAAAAAATTAAAATTTATCAAATATATTTTTATCGAAAACTATGTGATCTTTTATTTTCATTATAAAATAAAATATGCAAGAACGAGGTTAGTACTTATCGGATTTACTTTTTAAAAAATTCAAAATTTTTCAAATAGTTTTTCATTTAGAACTTTGTTGTCCCTGATTTTTCATTGCGATGAAAATGTCGTGGCACTACAGGGTGCTAACATCTTCCCTAAGTGTAACTGAATCTCGGACAAAATATCTAATTTTGTTGACCTTGTACTTAATTTTATAGTTTTCCATAATTTTTCATAACAAACTATGGTGACAAATCAAAAACCTCTATTTTGAAACTCTTTATTCTTTTTTTTTTTTTGGTTTGAAACTATCTAAAATTGTTTTGAAACATTAGAGATATCTTTACATGAGACATCTCATATTAACTTAGCATTTAAAGGAGTATATCTCACACAGAAGGAAGGAGGGATGCTCAAGAGTACTCATGATGGAACTGCTCTAGGATATATTTAGGGTCTACAAGAACAATAATAACAGAATACTCCTCACAAAGCTTCTTTAATAATACTAAATATCAAATTATCAACATACACTAGTGCAACGAAAACTTTTTATGTCAATTAGAAAAACCGACATAGATACACCAATATAGAAAATTTTCACTTTATATTTTGGTTATGCTACAACCGACATAAAAAGTTTCACTCTGATTTCATTCACATATTCTCCATGAAACCCTAATTCCACCATAGGGGACACACTTTACCGTGCCTCCATGTTCATTGATGCTGTCATTCATTACCTACTCTGCTTCCTTTGCCTTTTCGTTCACATCCGTGAGGTATGTGTTATTAGATAACCTTCAAATCAGAATTCCTAACCTAGAAATCAAAATAAGTGAAACAAAGCGAGGGAGAAGTTTGAGCACAACAACAAATGATAATGGTAAGACCATTGCAGCAAGAACTAGGCCAAGACTATGGAGTGCCCTCGAGATAGCAAACATCCAAACCCTAAACACCACATCAACAAGAGCGATTGCAAGAGCATTAAAGATATACAAGAGCAAGAGCGAAACTAGCGAGAATGAACTTTGCTAGAGCAAAAGCGACCACCAATGAGAGGGAGAAGACAAGAGCAACAACATAGTGTAGCAAAATAGAGAAGGTAAGAACCAGTATAAAATCAAAGTTTGATTTTTCTTCTCCCTATCTCTCTGTATTAATCGATTACATATTGTCATCATTCGAATACGCATACTGTTATATTGCGTACACATTGCTTGCTGTTCAAGAAAGGTTTAAAGATTCATCTTATTTGCGAAAAAGATTTGAAAAGCGAGTATTTTTATAAAACACTAATTCACCCCCCTCTTCGTGTTGAGAAATAAAGCTCATCATTTCTAATAAAGATCAATGCTAGCGAAACAGTGAAGTGCAACACGATGGGGAAAAGGAAGAAGAAAAAAATTAAAGAGTTTATGTTGATTATAACGAAGAACCAACATAATATTTTTTCTTTTAAACTTTTTTAAAAAAACATACACTTCCACTTTCTATGATTGTTCTAGGTATAATCAACATAGAAAGCTTTTAAATTTATTACAAAATTGTCTTCGTTTTAACTTTTTATGCTCATTCTATGTATAATTAACATAAAAATTCTTCTATTTTATTACGAAATTACTATCACGTCCACTTTTTATATTTTATGTCAGTTCTAAAAATAATCGATATATAAAATTTTATCATATTTATAATTTTGTCATCACATCACTTATTATTCTGAATGAATTATGACTAGTCATCATAAAATAATATTTTTATATATTCTTTCAATAATAAAATCACAATAATAATAATCAAATGAGATAGTATCAAGTTTTCCTCTTGTAAACTACAAACTATGTATAAACTAATTTTAATGCATGAAACTCTGTTTATTTTTTTTCAAAGCTTTTTGTTGTAAGAAGTTTATACGAATAAGGTTATCCAAAGTAATTTAACATTATGTTTTCACAATTTAACCACTCTTATAGTTTTCGTTGCCCAATTAATATTATTATGATAATTAATCACATGAAATCGTATGTAATTTTTTTATTTCGTGAATTTATAAATTATTTGAAATCTTACAATAATTAAAGATATAACAAAAATACTATATATGTGAGAAATAAAATATCTTTATAAACTACTTTATAGAATTAAATTAAACTTTTAAACCTAAATTATAAACAATATCAAAGTTTATATCACATGTAAATATATTTAATTTTGTAAACTTCAAACTCTCAAACGTATTCAATTTTTTATATGAAAAGGGCGTTAGACATAGAAGCAAAATATGCAAGCATTGGATTTTGTTAGTGACAAACCAAATTATGTTATTTATACAAATACCTTTAGGCCTTGTTCTTTTGAGTGAATTTGAGGGGATTTGAAGATAAATTCTTTTATCGTTTATTTGAGTGAATTTGGAGGTAAATGAGATTTAATTTAGAAATAATTTTTTTAATTTGTCATGTCAATACAATTCTATACTAATTCTCACAAATTTTATTTACAAATTCACTCTCATTTACCTCCAAATTCACTCAAATAAACGAAAAAAAATTTATCTTTAAATCCTTTCAAATCTCCTCAAATCCACTCCCTTAAATCCACTCATAAGAACAAGACCTTGAGGCTATCATTTCAATGACCATCCTTTGAGTAGAAGAAAAAATTATTGAAATTATTGTGCTTATAAAAGTATGCCACTTTGGGTGATTCTCATTGAGATTGGGACGCATAGAAAAAGCACTTTCTGAGGACAACAAACAGGCACTCACTTTTGTATTTTTGTTCTTCCTTTCACCGTCACATTATCTTCAGAACCGAAACCACTCATACATTATGAAGATTAAAATTAAATAAAAAATATCGAATTTTTTACATTTAACTATTTCAGATTGATAAGGATTTCATTTCAAGTGGTTTAACTCTTTCCCTACTTTTACTAGTTTAGTTTTTTTCTTTTTATAATAGATATAATTCCATATATATATATATATATATATATATATATATATATATTATATGATTAACTATTTTTTAAATTTTAATGTGAAATTGAAATTTATTTATGTTTTAAATCTTGATAGAATTTAATTTTAAATTTTAAAAATGAATAGATATAATATTTTAACTTGAATTAAGTTTCTTATGTATCAACCAAGGTTTCGTATTGTCATTTTAAGTTATTTACATTTTTTTTTATATTTTTCAATTTAAATGTTAATTTATAATGTCATTTAATGTCTAAAATAATATTTATTTATTTTTAAAGTTTTAAAACTAAAATATATGAAAGTTTAAAATATGAAGAAAATTTAATTTCATATTCTAATTTAAGAACTATAAATATATTTTGAAAAAAAAATTACACCCTTGGTTATCATAAGAGAAATACATAAAATTAAAATTATCTCTTTAATTTATTACAGGTACCAACTCAAAGAAACTTGGAACTCTGTTTTTCCAAGTTTGAATGCATAATTGCTGTTATAATGTGTTTTCAATGGACTCAGTATGTGCACTATGCGCATTGAGAATTCCTCCAAACAGTTAAGCACCTTGGTTTGGATGAAAACAAGAACTAAACCTAAAAGACAAACTAAGAAAATTACAAAATTTCCATAGAAAAAAATTACAAACTACTCCAAAATTAACGAACCCATTGTTAATCAACGTCAACAACGTCCATCTTGGCATTGTATTCTCAACTTTGGATTTAAGATTTTATAAAATGCTTACAAAGTGATTAATGTAATGAATGTATATAATATATAGAAGGTCTCATATAATTTATCCTTTAACTTGTAACATTTTGATACAGTGAACCAAAATGATAGAATTGGTTCCCTTTAATTGTGGTTCACAGAAAGCATAAAAGAAAGAAAAGAAATCCCTCTGAAATTAGAAAAAAACAGAATCTTTCATGTGCTGAGAAAGGAATGGTTTCTCCACTCATTTATTCCATAAAATAAATCACCAATTGGTCCACGAGTTCATAGCAGCATTAATACATATGTGGCACACAACACAACCCAACATGTTGCAGGTCAATTATATTATATATCCATAATTATATTAATTTATATTTGTAATTATACTGTTACAAATATATAAAGCTAAGGAATAAAACAAAGACTCTCATATCAAAGCAGACACAGGTAGCTTGCTATTCTCAATCACCATGAGGCTTCACTTCGCTATCATTTCCATTGCTGCTTTGGCTCTATGCACTTCTGCAGATTACAGTAAGATTTCCTTTATCATTGCTTTCATTTGCTCTGCTTATTCTGAAAACTGTCGAGATAAAACTTTGCTGTAATGATTGCTTACATGAATTTTTCTTTTTTCATTAGTTTCGGTTAATTTTAGTTATAGTGGTCAAAATGGACCTGCGAACTGGGGAAGATTGAGTCCATCTTATGCAGCCTGCTCAAATGGGAAAGCACAGAGTCCTGTGGAACTTATCAAAACTGATATTTTCATGAACAAGGAGTTGAAGAATATTGCAACAAATTATCTCCTTGCCAATGCCACGTTGGTTAACAACGAATTTAATATTGGGGTTTGTTCTTCAACTATCAAATTTTGTTTTAATATTGGATAAATCTGATCTTATAAATCGATTTTATAAAATTAAATTAAATTTAAAATTTACTTTTTAACACGATAAAACATATCACTGTTACACTTACTATATAAGGTTTTTAAGGAATTTTTGTATGAACTAATATGTGTATATTTTCATTTATAGGTTCACTTCGAAGGGAAAGTAGGAGACATTAACATAAATGGAAAAAACTACTCCTTGAAACAACTGCACTGGCATTCGCCATCAGAGCACAAGGCAAATGGTCGTATGTAAGTTTACACGCACCCAAAAATGATTTCGGATACATATGATGTTTTAAAAATTAAGAATAAGAATTTTAGTGTTTTTCCAACGTACCACTTTTTAAAATGATTACGCTTTCTCGAAGAATTTGCTTTGCAAACCTTATCGTTTTTTCTCGAACCAATCTAAGTGTTACAAGATCACTTTAGTAAAAAGTTTTGATACCAAATAATTGGGTAAGAACCTTTTGCATACGCAGCTTTATAAAGTTGCACAATGCATATTTTTTTAGGATAAATACTAGGTTTATTATAATATGTACTGATATATTTCATTTTTAGTATAATAGAAAAAAAGTTTACCATAGACCAATAAGTTTTTTTTAAAACTCTATTAATAGTTTATTATAATATGTACTGATATATTTCAATCAGATGTTCAATTATCTTATACATTGATGGAGATCAAATAAAATGAATTCAATTAGTGTTTTTAATAATAATATTTTGTATATTATATTAAAAATAATATATGTCAATATTTAATCCACTAAACCAATTATTTACCCTATTTTATAACTTTATTTTACATATTAACGAAATTCAAAAGAAAAAAGTTATTCTACCACAATGCATGTCAATTTCTAACTAAGCTGCGAGACACCGACTAAAGTATAGAGAAAATATATTCTTATATTGTGATTTTGTTTTCTATTTGAATCTTTCGGAAAAGACAAATATATTTAATACAAACTTTTTGAATGTCAAATTAGCTTAAAATTTTCCAAGCTTAATACATGTCTCTTTAATGAGAAAAACTGTTGGTTCGTCACACATAAATAACTCTTGAAGATTGTACAACTATCTTTGTAAGCTATTTAATTACGAAACTTTCAATAACAATTATTTTACCATGATTTTTTAGAGTTTTTCTACAAGGTGGGGGTTTACTCCCATAACCACTCATCAAAGAACTCTTCACTTAATTTCCATTTCCTAATGAGTTGGGTGCGTGATTAGGGATGTTAATTAAATTAAGATAAAAAAATTATCTCCTGAAAGCCTACCCATCAAGTTATTGATTAAAAAAATAAAATAGTTTTCAAAAAAGAAAATAATCGAGTTGTTTATAATTTAACACATTTTAATTCAAATATCAGCTTTAAAAACTAATTAACGTGTTCAAGTTTGGGATAAGACGAATTCTAATTCTGTGTTTAAGTTTAAAGATTACAATTGTATTTAATCCTTTCTTATTTTATAAAATTGGTAAATATGTCATTTTTTATTTAACGAATTCTATCCACGATTTTATAATCTTATTAAAAGGTGCTAAAAGGAGTTTTTTCAATTTAATAGAGTCAGTGACCAATCTTTGAATCAAATTCTGTAAAGGAAAATTATACAACAATAACAAAGCATTTTATAAATAATACAATCTTGTTGTAATAATAAAATATTATATTGAAGTGAATAAGGAAATAAAATAAATTATGAAATTTAAATAGAATATTTGATTAAATAATTTTGGGATCCATTATAGACATGACGCAGAGCTCCATCTAGTCCACTTGACCGAAGATATAAAGAACATAGCAGTTGTGGCAGTGCTTTACAGATTAGGTGATCCAGATCCTCTGATATCCCAGGTACAGTGCAAGTCACATTCACTTTATTTCTAAAATGATGTGGTTCAAATGAAAAAGTGAAAAATAATATGTGGTGGTGCTTGGATACAGTTTGAAGAGAAGTTGGTTGAGTTAGGTAATAAGAAGGAAATTGCAATTGGGAGCTTTGATTTAGAAGAAATAAATAGAAGCAGCAGAAGAAGGTATTATAGATATGTTGGCTCTCTCACCACTCCACCATGCAAAGAGGGTGTCATTTGGACCATTCTTGGAAAGGTAACTAATCTTATATATATGCTTTCCTTTGGTGGAAATATATACACAAAACAAAAACCAAATGTGTGATTATGTATGCAGTTGAGGACACTATCCACCCAACAACTCAACCTCCTCAAGGCACCATTGAACCCACAGTTTAAACACAATGCAAGGCCTCTTCAGCAGATTAATGGACGTAAAATAGAGATGTATTACCACCCTAAAACAACCACCATGGGACTCATGTA